TATATATATATGCACATAGATGATCTAACAGCAATCATTTCATACACAACACCATTAAATCAGAAAATTTTTGTTTTTTATTCATGTTATATAGTAGTATTACGTTTATGTGTTTATGTATTCCAGGGATTCCATTTAAAAACAGTTTTCTTTAAATAATGTGTCAAACACCATAATCCTAGTGGCCTAAATCTCTAAAGTCTGGATGTGTGCCAGAAGCTGTTGCAGAGCCAATATAATCACCATTCTAACAGAGACTCTTAAAATAGTACACATCCCTGGTAAAATTACATAATTTTCTGATGTAAAAAATGAGGCCACGATGGATAATTTCAAGGTATAAATCCTACTTTGCAAAATTAGGAAGGAAGAAGAGTTAAATCCGTTAAAACAATTATCAAGATGAATAAATAGAAAGTTGCAACACAGTATGTGTACGCACACCTACACTAATACTTTGGTAAAACACCTTTTGGTTTTAATATGAAGGCTTTAGTAGGTGTTTCAGCATCCCACACCCTGACTAGTCTTTGCCCACCTTACCAGTCCTAATTCATGAGAGCAGTTTGGCATCTTTTGTTTAATGCATTCTTCAGGTGAAAGCCATATGTTACCTGATAGTTTTAAGTAAACTCTGCTAAGGCTGTTGTGAGCCTTGAATTGTCCTGTGGTGCAGCCATTCTCTTGTTGATTTGGATGTTTTGACTTACAAGGAGGTTGAAAATGACTTGCATTTGAAACCTCTTATAATTTGTATCCACCTTGATAAAAAAAAAATCCAGTTCCATGTGAAAAAATATAACTTCAAATCATTATGATGCCTCCATCATGTTGGCATGATGTTCTTGATGCTCAGTTCATTATTGATGTGGATGTGTTGTACAGTGTAGAAGTGTTTAAAGCTTATTTTAATGAAAACATAACAGATTCTTATTTATTTTTTGTATTTCAACTATGTTTGGATGTTTTCTATGACAAAAATACTTTCTGGATAAATTAACTATAACCTGCAGATATGGGAAAAAAGTACAAAAACAACAAAAAAAAATTACTTTTTTATCGAATGTCTGCATACATTGTCAGTGTTAGAATCTTAGCTTTAATGCATTTTTATGTCTTTTCAATAATTCTGAAGAAATGTCAAGTCTTATAAGTGTCCACTGTACCTGTTGTCTTTCTCAAATTATTGATAAATCTCTTGATTGTGCCATGATATACAGTATATACTTTATATTGCTGCAGTACTTTATCTACCTTTCTCCTAAATTATATCTTTTGTGGAATAAGATGACTTCAATCCCTTTTTTCCCACTTTTCTCCTTTTCCCACCATAAAAATGTGGTTTAAGTTAAATAATGCAGGTTTACTTTATTTTAGGTTAATCGCATTCATCATTTCTTGCATGTAAACTATAGAAAAATAAATGTTGATAATGAATTAAATGTTGCAAATATTATTTTAAGACAGTGTAATGCCCCTTTTTTTAATTTTCTTTCCCCTTCTTCCGTGCACTTTTTGTTGGATTTCAGTCAAATTGTGTGGTTAATTTAACATTGTATGTGGAAGAGGCTTTGAAAAGATTTTCTCAAATTTTTTTTTTTTTCACGTTGGCATTTTAGCTGAAAAGCATAGACTTTTGAAAACCACTGTATGTCGAATAATGGCATAAATTCATTTTGACTTGCATGCAGTTCATAAAGCAGTCATGTGCACCAAATTTAGTACTTAGTTGAAGTGAATGACATCGCCACGCCCCTTTGTATAATTTTCTTCAGTTCGATTATCCCGGTCTTTTTCAAATGTCACATTTTTTTGTGCTTGTGTATGGATGTGCATTCATGCTGAGAGAATGGGCAGCTATTATACGCTTTCAGGGGCTGTGACAGCAGCGCTCAGTGAGGAAGCCAAACACTTTGCAGCTTAGACAGTGTACCAAGGCAGACACACATGTATGCACTCACAGATCCAAATATACACACATCCAATGACACAATTCACAATGAAAGGGCCAATTTATCAAACTACCAGCCAAGCCAGGCCTGAGGATGGTTAGTGCCAGCACTGGTCTGGAGACAGGGGGCGGTATGAACTAATGCGTGGGTACATGTTTGTGTGTGAAACTTTTTGCACAGTGGTGAGGCAAGTCTTCAGATTTAGTATTTACTTTTGCCTTTGGCTAAATTTCAAAGAGCATTACCTGCTGATTGTGGGGGCATAAAAATGAGTTTGTGGATCTTTTGGCTATGGAGAAATTGTCTGCTTGAGTTTGTGATAAACAGAGCTAAACAGTGGGAGGTAGCAATGACACTGCCTGTAATTAAATTTTAGGATCGACAACTTCTGTAAATGATCCTACTGTTTAAAGCTGCTCTGTAAAAACAAAGAAGCACAGGAAACAGATATTTCAGTATTTCTAGCGTTTTAAATGGTTGGCAAAGTGTGGATCATAAAAAAATCTTCATACCTTCTCAACTTGTCGTGAGGGATGTATTTTAAATTTTATCATCTGTCCAAATCTATCTTAAGCCATTTGACATATGATCTTATAGCTGCAAGTGAGAGGTAAGATTCAAACAGTTCTCCGTCTTGTTTTATTCAGGGGAAGATGCATCCAGCTAAATTATAAAAAATCAGGAAAGACTACTTTTCACTCTGTAATGTTTTGAACGCTATGTGTGACAATACTGCCATGTGTCCATTAAACTTCATCCAAATTAAATAACACACAGACCATTTAATTTGATTTCCAACAGTTTTAGATTGTTTCTTTTTTTGCATGTATGAATGCTCCACTGTTTGCCACAGAGTTGCTAGTTTGAGGCCTGAGCTGACCAAGCATCTGCTAAATCTTTCTTAACATGCACACACTAAACTGTACCCTGAGAACAGCCTACTGCATCAAGCAAATAAAGGCTGGTATCATGGATTGAATTATTTTCTTTTCCAGGCAAGTTTCTGACAACAGATACTGTATGGCTGTAACACCGTTTTCTGTCTTGCTATCTGTGGTGTTGTAGTTCTGTCTAAATGGAAGGAAATTAAATGCATTTTGGGTAACATGAAGTCCTGTGTTGTTTTGGATCTAACATTGTTTTTACATCATTAAGATAAACTAACTAGGGTTGAAGTAATGTTAAAGTGGCACTTAACACAAAAAAGGCATTTTGGTCAAATTATGCAGATAAATTCAAGGTCAGGTGCTTACACCTCTTTTTGAGGATGTAGCAACATTGGCCAGGCGCTTGCATTATGCCCTTATAGCAGTCCGTCTTACCAAGTATGCATGCAGTGACACTGGGAAGGAAAAGTCCCCTTTAACAGGAAGAAATATCCAGAGCAACCAGGCTTAGTTTGAATAACCTTCTGCCACAATGGACTGGGGTTTGAGAGGAAAGACACACAAAAAGACACAAGAATTGAACCAAGAGTATTTCTTTGTTAAATGAGAAGCAAATAGGAAATGGAAGTAGTAGCTCCTTCAGTCGTTTCATCTGGGAGAGAAACACTGCTAAGCAGAGGAGCTCTGAATGTTTTTAAGCCTGGAGATGAAAGAGAGAACAACTAAAAGACAGTGATATGTGTATCGTTTATAGAAGCACATGAGATTGTTGGCAGCAGCTTAGCATATTGCCAGGATGGTGACACAGCTAAACAGAAGACTAGACTAGATGTAGCTACTATTAACAGAAAGGGTTAGGGTTAAGAGATTATAAAGTTAGAAATTGAAGTAATAAATGATGCAAAACTGAATATGGCATTTAAATGTTACATGATTGCATCCAAGTAGTTGAAATTTCCTTGCTTAATAATAATTTAAAAAAAAAGGTCAAACTGTCAGTCTCTATGTTTTTAATGAGATTTAGTGGAAAGCGGTTAAAAACTGGGTCAAATATTCCTGGCCCATGATGGGGTTGGGCCCAATGTAGACCTGATATTTAACTTACATACAAGCATATATTTTCACTTATCTCTTCTTTATTTATTTCCTTATATTTATAATACAGAACCACCCTTCACCAGTCCCTTCCTTCATTTTTCTTTAATTGCTTC